GTCGCTCCATAGTTCCCAGAAAAGTCTAATTCGACAGAGCTTCTTTTCACCTGGCATATCTTAGTGAACCCTTTTGCCATTAGAGAATCTCACTTGATCAGTATCCCTGAGCGAGAGAACTGGAAAACAGAAGTCAGACATTATCAAATTATTCAGAGGAGGACTGGACAACCAGAAGCTGATCACCCATATCTAGCCTCCAAACACAATTTTTTTTCTGTTCCCCAGCAAATGTTAATTAAAGTGGCAAAAGGTTTGACAAATGTTGCACTTATAAAGAGTGTTTGCATGACCTGACAACCCAGAAAGCAGCAAGTGCAGCTGCTGTTTTGAATATGCAGCCCCCAATCGGGAGTTTTTGTGTCACGCCATAGAAAAGACAAGCAGGGACTGGAGAAAGTGAGAGGAAAGCAGAGGTTTTCTTTTTCAAAAATATGCACGCACACATATTAAGAGGCAAGAGGGGGGAAAGGGTAACAGTTAAGACATTTGAAAGAGCAAATGATGCAATGTTCTGTGGTAAAAAGATTTTAGACAACAGAGAAGCACAGAGGAAAAAACGCTCACTAAAAGAGAGAAAAAGTAGAACTTCCCAGGGCACCAAAGGCTGGTCAAAGAACTGAGGGAATGGGTGGGAGCTCCTTCCATCTATACGAATGCTGGAGTGGGGAAAGGATTCCTGCCAAAACACTTATTTGGGAAATCTTCCCAGCCACAGGATCCATGCAGGCACTGCACCGTATGTGTGATGCACAGAGACCACGGGGAGGGACTCACAAGAAGCCATGGTGTGTCAGTGGGACCCAAACAGGCAGAGCAGAACACAAGTTTCAAGTTTCCAGTACTACTACTACTATTACTTTGTTGTGGTCTCTGTGCTAAACTAAAACAAAGCATACACACAGTACAACTCACATAGTCTTAAAGCAGCAAAGACTGAGGGCCCAGTTAAATCTCAAAGCCTGGGTGAACAAAGATGTTTTCAGTTGTTGCCTAAAGCGCAGCGGAATGGGGTCCATGGGAATGGGAATTCCATGGTTGGGATGCCACCACTGAAAAGCTTACTTATTATAATGTCCTTTGATTCATAGTGCCCTGCCTATTTCAGAGTGCATCCACCCAAACTGTGAAGCCCATCGTGTTATGGAGTGGACCTCTCAGGTGTGGGTCATGTAATGTGGCAAAAGACATGTCTGGAGGGGAAGAAAGAGTCCTCCCTGAAACAACAGGTAGGCTGATGCAAAGGCATAGCCAGAGGGAAAAGGAAACAAATGTGGTAAAGCAACTGGAAACACCAAAAATAGAGAGAGAGAGAGAGAGAGAGAGAGAGAGAGAGAGAGAGAGAGAGAGAGTTTGTGTGTGTGGTGTGTGGAGGGAGACACATCTGATTCATGGTATAAAGTATTTGTCCTGCCAAAAAACCAACCACAAACTAGTAGGGAAAGTATTTATTTGCCTCTCAGAGCAGAAATCAATAGCTGGGTGAGGGCAGCACAGAAGATGGATCAAGCTGAAAGGTCGGCTTTTTGCTATTCCACCCCAGCAGTAGCCGTCCAATAAAGCGGAATGGTACAGTGTGTCCCCAAGGACAAACTAAACAGAGGTCTACTACCTATGACGAAAATCCAAAACTCATAATTAGGACCAACAAAAATGATAGAAATGTCATCATTCAGGTTGGATATTAAACAAAATAGGCTAAGAGTCACTGAGGCAGATTTTCCATCAATTGCATGATACATTATTGAAATCTAGGTTGTCAGTCATCACAACATCCTCTTCTTAATGAATGTCATGCGAAGTGTACACTGCATGGAAAAAAATCCTCTTCTTCTATCTGAAATGGCAGCCACCCAATGTCATTAGATGCATGGCTAGCCCAGAGTATTGTGCCCTGCTTCCCATAAACCTGGCATTTCATTGTATGCCGAGCGGCATGACCATAGCCTAACAAATGACCAAGAACTGTGAAAGCTCTCTAGTTCCCCTGAACAGTTGCAAAGCTGAATGAGGCATCCTCACTTACCGTCCCCCAAGCAAGCAGTTGCCAGCTTTGCCTCCATGAATGGCCTGCTCCGGCCTGGATGGCTCAAGTTCTACCATTCTTTCCTTCTTTCCACTTGGGTCGCCATCTTGTAAACCACCATTGGCCCTAGAGTGGGAACTGGACCTGTGCGCACCCCCAGATGTCAGGCCCATCAGCCAGCATAGCCCATGGTGTGGAATGAGGAGAGCTGCCATCCAGCATCATCGGAAAGGCCACTTGGTCTCCAAACCTGCCTCAGGAATCTCCCATTTTCCCCCACCTGCTTAATTCTCTAGACATCTTTAGTTGTTTTCTCAGGGTGTCCAACCAAAGTAAAGGCAAAAATGGCTACATCCATTTCTTTATTTCTGAAATGGAACAGAATTCGAACCATTAGTTGAAAACCCCTGTGAAAAATGATCTTGAAAGATTCATTTTGTAAATCAGGTTACTGATTCAAAAATAGAGTTTGACTAAAACCAGCATTTGTGCAACACCTGTTGTAATACTTTTGAAAGTGAACGAATGACAGTGACAGTTCTGTAATGATTTCTTCCTCTTTAATAATAATGTGGTTGTTTCTTCCCCTGTTTTTTGTACTATTTAAGCAGTATCAGTAACACTTCAGATCTGTGAAACAAATTAATTCTAACAATTTCTGTTTTGTGCATCGTAGAATCGTAGAATCAAAGAATAGTAGATTTGGAAGGAGCCAGGAAGATCATGAGGTCCCACCCCTGCTGTTGCAGGACACTAAGTTACACCATCCCATTCAGATGACTGTGCAGAGGCTGTTTGAATGTCTCTAGCAAGTAAGAGCCCACAACTTCCCTAGGCAATAGGGTTCCATTGTTGAACTGCTCTGACAGTGAGGAAATTCTTCCTGGTGTCTAAATCTGGGTTCTTTTAACCTGATTCTGTTATTCTGTGTCATGCAGTCTGGGGGTGATCGAGAACCTGCCCCTCCTCTTTCTGACAGCCTTTGAGGCACTTGTACAGTGCTATTATATCACTGCTCAGTCTTCTCTTCTTGAGGGTGAACATGCCTTGTTCTCTCAATCCTTCCTCATGGGGCTTTGCCTCCAGTCCCTAAATCATTCTAGGTGCCCAGAACTGGACACAGTACTCCAGGTGACATCTGACTAGGGTTGAGTATAGGGGAACTAGTACTTCATTTGTTTTGGAAATGTTTGGGCTGCTTCTGTGAATGCAGTCCAAAACAGCATTCGCCCTTTTTTGCAGCTGCATTATTGTTGGCTCATATTTAGCTTGTGATCTACAACAACCCCAAGATCCTTACATGTACAGTATTGTTGAGCCAAGAGTTCCCCATCTTGTAGCAGTGTTTTTTGGTTTCTTGTTGCTAAGCGGAGGACTTGGCATTTGTCCCTACTGAATTTCATTCCGTTGCTCTCTGCCCAGCATTCTCACCTATCAAGATCACCCTGTATCTTATCTCTGTCTCCCAGGTATTTGCTATTCCACCCAGTTTTGTGTCACCTGCAAATTTAATTCTCTTTCCTTGTACTTCCTCATCTAAATCATTAACAAAAATATTGAAATATTTCCTCCCCAGTGCCATTGATGAGCACTCCTTTAGTCCAGTTCTGCAGCCAATTGTGGATCCACTTAATGGCTGCACTATCTAGCTTGCCTTTTGCTAGTTTGCTAATCAGGATGCTGTATGGCACTTTGTCAAAAGCTTTGCTAAAGTCTAGATAGATTATGTAGATAGTGTTCCCAGAATCCATCAAGGTTACCCAGTCAAAAAATGAATTTAGATTACTTTAATGTGCTGACTTGTTGTGCTCCACTATTTTCACTATTAGAACAGTCTCACTTGTGAGGATGGGGACTCCCTGGTTTGGAGGCTTCCAATTATCTATTGTAGTGGGGGAAGAAAAGCAGTGGCATTTTGCACTGGATGGCTCTTTTCCTCGTCTAGGTGGAATCCTCAGCAGGGCTGCAGAGGCCTCAGGATAACTCTTGCCTGGCCCCGCCATTCTTCTCTCCCCCGATGAAATGTCCACTTTTCCTCCTCAGCATTAGAGCAGGGAGTCCCTATATTGTATGGTCGCTCAGATGAAGCTCAGGAGCTCTAGGATTGGCCTATTATTATGTATGCTTGTATTACTGATACTTAGATTGTGTCCTCTGATCTCAAACTGGTTTGTGATGCCAGTACAATTGTTGGACATTTATTAGCCTGAACCAGAACAACCTCAGGTGCCACTAAATTTGAACTAGACCTGAAACAAATACTTTTAATGGTTTGTTTCCTCATTCTAGCTTTTCTATAATTGTGGCTATAGGATGACCAAAAGAGCATGTGGGCAGCCTGTACTTAAAGCGGATGCAGTAAAGCTGCATCTGCAGCATGAAGCTCAAGACGATGGTGGAAGCACTCTGCAGATACATGAGACTGGCACAGGTACCTCGTATAAAAGATCTCTGATTACACCAGCATGCTTGGCTAGAGAATCCACACAATCTGAAAATGGGCAAATTAGTAGAAATGAGAACCCGCTCAGCCATGGAGCCAACTGGGTGACTTTGGGCCAGTCACAGACTCTCAGCCCAACCTACCTCACAGGGTTGTTGTTGTGGGGATAAGATGGAGGAGGAGAATGATGTAAGCTGCCTTGAGCCCTTTGTAGGAAAAAGGCAGGATATAAATCGGAAAATTAATTAATTATTTAATCCTTCTATGTGTATGGACCATGAATTCATTCATTCAAGCATTCATTTAAAACATTTCTATGCTGCCCAATTCTGCCACAGCACCTCTGGGCGGCTTACAGTCACAAGATAAAACACAATAAAAAATAACTGCAACATAATAAAATACAGACAAAAATACAAAACAGAAGGTTCAGTGGCATTAACTATTAATTTTTTTAAAGGAAGGTATTTGCCTGGTGCCGAAAAGAATATAAGGACGGCACCAGGCAAATCCAATAAATTTCTGATCATTGCTGTTTTATTTTCTGCCATTTCCCTAATGTCTAGAACTGAAAAGGAAATTAAATTCTCTTGTTTTCCTACAGTGATTTCAGGCTCTCTTCCCTGAATTAATCACAGCCAACTTGTGCCATAGTCTTTGCAAAGTTAAGCATTTTGCAAGTTCATGGGGTGGGAATTAAACTTAATTCCATTGAAATTAGTTATATTGAAAAGAGCTCAACTTTGACTAAATCATGCCCTTGGTTTTTAATCATTAAAATTACACAGTTCTCTGTATTAGCAGTTGTTAATGAGACTTTTAATTTTGTAATAGAGGTCAGGACACAGTATTCACTGGACTTGTTTGCCTGCACTGGCTATTGAGTAATCTAGCTGGGACTTTGTTACAGGAATGGTAAAGTAAATAAATCAGGTAAAAGACAAAATGAGCCTAACAGCAACCACACTTGTGGGCTTTAAAGGAGTTGGTGGAAATATCTCAAAAATCTACTGAAGGAGGATGCATTAGAAAACAGATTGACATAATGGCCTTGGTTTGCTATAGCTGTGATCAACTAGTAAGTGTAGCAACTGATGTTACCAGTGCATCCAGCCACATGCTGCACATGAGCACTGCTACACGGATGGGGTTCTGTATTCAGACTGTCACATCGGTAATGCTTCCAATGTGACTGTTCACAGAATTTTTTGGAAATTCAGTGCACAGTCCAGCCAAAGTTAAGCAACTTTACATTCCATTGGTTTCAATGGGAGATTGAGACACCTGCTTAAAGCTCTTTCACTGAAATTGAAAGGCCTTAAATATACTTAACTTTGTCTGGATCCTCCCCCTAGATAAGGATTTTGCAATGAACTGAATCAAGGCTACCCTGGGGCAGCTGTTCTTTTTTTAGCCTTCATCCCATAATACATTCAGCAGGCAGGTGATCCCTGGCAATCTTGTTTTGTTTACAGATGTTTGATAACCTTGTGCTCACCCTCTGCACGAGAATTTGAGGATATCTTTTCAGTTGACAGCATTTTTCTGTAACCATGTGTGCTACCATGTTTCAAGCTTTTTAAAAAAGTACCGTCCATTTAAGAATGCACTATAGAGGAGGAGATCTGTGGTGCTGCAACATGAGGACAATGCCAGAACATAAGAGAAGCCCAGTCTGATCAAACTGAAAGTCAGTCTGCTTTAGCTTTTGCTTCCTTCAGCTTTTGCTTCTAATCAGATACATCTGAAAGTCCACCATCAGGACTATATATTAACAATACATTATCTGCATGTGAATCCTCATCCATCCATCCACAAATAAATGAGAGGTAACAAAAAATATTTTGGGAATAAATTCTAGGGAGGAAAAAAACCCCCCAAAACTGAGGACTGATCATGTTCATTGGGTATGGGATGCAGACCATCTGCAGGAGGGGAAGGACAGAAAACAAGGGTGAGAGAATGGAATGGAGAATCCTGGAAGGCTTGCTGGTAGATCCCCACTTGAAATGCATGGCTAATACCTGTTGATAAATATATCCTCTATCACCAATCCCTGTCACCCCCTTTAAAAGCCATTAGCTAGTGGCTATGACTGCATTTTGTGGCAGTGAATTCCATGTGCTGCATAAAGGAATGCTTTCAGCAGTGGCAGACCAGTTTCCCTGATACAGTGTAATGAATAAATATGATTGCCCAGCAGTACCCATCTTCATCTTAGGGAATTCAGGATGGATTTCAGATTACATGCTGAGACGTGTCATTCATAGAATTACTTCATTTAACTGTATGGGTCTCATGACTAAGTCAGGATTTGCATCCAATCCTCTTGGGCCAGTCCAACACTCTAACCACTACGCCCCTCTAACTACTACCTCATCCTGTGAGTACCTCAGAATCCTATGACAGCACTTGGAAATTCTGCAGTAAGCGGTGGTGTATGTGTTCCCTGAAAGGAAAGGATCAGCAACTACTGGTGTAGAATACCTGTGAATTCATAGTGGAAGAACTACACAACTGCAGATGTAAGCACTCTGAAAGAAGGGGAATGGGGAGTTAATATCTTCCTTTTCTGGAGTAGACAGAGGCGCAGGAAATATTGAAAAGGTGGCGATTAAGAACTCTCAGATCAATGAGAGGATCCCATTGACAAGGGGCAGATGCAGGTCTCCCCCTGCCCCTCACTCCTTTTAGGTTGTACCTTCTTTTCCTGTTTTTTCCCCTAAACAGCATTTTGACACCTAGGCAATTGACCCCTGGCAATGGTGCGTAAGTGTGCTTATGTGCAGGCTTGCCTTGTCGGTATGTTTCCCACAGCACTTCACTGCTCCCTTTGACAGCTGAAACAGACAAGAAAATTGATTGGGCTAGTCTTTTCATACTGGACAGCTGTAAGTACACACAAGCTCTTGCAAAAAATGATCATCATCATCATAAAAGAATAAACACAAATGCACCATCTTCTGAGGATGGAAAAACAGTAATGTTAAAAAACGGCCCCAACTGCACTTTTTTGAGGCTCTGAAAAACAACACCACAGTCACAAATGAAAAGGGGTCATGATTAGAGTAGGGAAGGAGAGATAAAACAGCATCTGATGGAAAGGACACTGATCTACCAGCAGGAGAACAAGGAGGAAGGAGGGAAAGAACAAGCCACAATGAGCCCAATAGTCTGTTGGGCAAATCATGGGTTGCTCTCTAAATAGCCCACACTGTGTAGCTTATTTGCAAAGCGGCTTACCATGACATGTGCACAGAGACACTGAATCTAATGGCATGATGTCCAATTAGAAAATTAAGAGGCAGACACCAGCTTTTAACACTGATCCTCTTTATTACCAAAAATGTTAAATTGCTTTTTACTTCCAAGAGGTAGCACAAAACAGTTACTGATTTATGGAACTTTTCAGTAGCATTTGTAACTACATACATTGTTAGGGGATTTACTTTACAAAAAATCATGAGAAACATTAACTAGTCCAAAAGAGACCATACATTCTTGGGTAGGAATTCTTGTTGAGATGAGAAACGTTTGCACTTTACGAACTAGGTCCATACGGTCGACTGAGACTTGCCTAAATGGTCCCCGAATCACTTCCTGTGGTTTGAGCACTGACAGGGCCATCCTGTGCAAGGCTAGGCTGTGCCATTCTGCAGCCTGTTCCATGCTACAGCTTCATGTATCGAGTCTGGCTATTTGATCTAGCACAACAGACTCAAGGACAGCCAGAATAGATTTAAAGTGGCACTATTCCTGCCTCACTACTCACAAAGCCTATCTACACTCGTATATTTGCATCACAACTGTGGGGCACAGTTAGTTATTGTGGGGGGATTTCTTGGACAGATGAAACAAAACTAACAGATGCTATAATGGTCATGGTGCTTTAAAGCATGGTACCTCAGATCCCAAGCTAAATCTTATACAAAATTACAAAAATATGCCTTTTTGCTCATCTTTTTATAATGGAATTGCAACCCTGTACTGTGTCATACTGCACACTTTAATAGATAATGGAAGGAGGAAAATTAGCAAAAATGTGATGCAGCCAAATTTAAGCATATTTCTGTTGACTGAGTACAAAGGGAGAGTGTTAATCACATGCTTAACTCATCAGCTGAATTTAAAGAGACTAAACAGTGCCTAACTGTGGCTAAATTTGACAGAGCCCTGTAACTTTTTGAATACGAAAAAGGACAAATGTTTGTTACTCCAGGATGAATTTTCTATTAACTAGGCTAAAGAGGGACAGACTTAAACAACATTCACTGTTTTACAAAAATAATAATCTATCAAATAGAAACGAATTTGGTCAATGCTCTACAAAGTCAAGCAGATACATTTATGTTAAGAAAGGCAGCAAATATGCATCTCTCCACTTTATTGCTACCACCAATTTTTTAATGGTCAGATAAAGAGAAGCATTACATCTGCGGACCAAACTGTGTGGTTCAGTTTGACTTTATTTTATAAGAAACTATTTTAACAGCTACCAGGAAAATTTATATCCGATTAAGGGCATAATCCTATGCCTGTTAAGGCAGGAAAAAGTCCTATAGTTCCCAGCATTCTTCGACCAGCAGTTTACTAGCACAGCCTGTTCAAATTCTGTAAGATACTGGATTTGGTACTTAATGCAGAATAACTCAATTTCTAACCTTGATCAACACCTAGGCATCTGTGGGATACAAGAGGTAGGATTTTTTTCCTGTCTAAACATGCATAGGATTATGCTTTTCAGGTGATCATCTGAGAGGAACAAGAAATTAACAAACATTATGAAATACTTCTGTGGTACTGTGTCAAATTGTACGTATCAGAGAGATGTTAAAATAGAGGAACAAACACTTTTTTTGTCTATTGAAACAGCCTATTGAAATCTTAGGTGGTGCTGGATTTGGTACTCAATACAGAGTAATTCAATCTCTAATTTTTAGCGAAACCTTGGCATTTGTGGTGCGGGAGCTCCTTCTAGTGGTGCAGAGGAAGAGACCGTCAGCAGCAGCCCACCATGTAATTTCTCATTCACCCGGAGCTCACATCCATCCTGAAGCATGCGAATTGCTATCCGTGCAATATTCTTAGAGTCATCAAGCCCACTGTGAGGTCGTCCATCGTAATCCATTCCAAGCTTTTCAAGCATAGTTGATAGTTTAGTTTGGCTTCTGGGCACCTGGCAAGAGAATTGAACTGTACTAAAGTGGAAATGGCTAAAAGGACTCTCTTGACAGGGAGGGAAACCTCCCAGCATCTTCCATGGTCTATAAGAGGGATACTGAAGTTCTTTCAGTCCAAAGGCCTGTCAGTGCTCAGATGAAATGGACATGGCCATGTTGAGAATCTGGAGGTCTGGAGTTAGTCCCCCAGGCAAAGGGTTCTATAAACTAATAGCAGTAATGATGAAAAATGCACAAGTACTTCTAAATAAAGATGGGGAACAGAATATCTTCTATAATTTTGTCCCATGCAGAATTAATTTAAGTTACATATCTAGTTACTGAAGTTGCTGCAGCTCTGGGTTTTTGACAAAAAGCTAAGTTTAGGTTCTGAACTTTGACACTGTTTTATGTACTGACTTGGAATGGAAGCTTTCACTACACAAGACCTTAAACAAATCCTTTCTAGTCAGAACATACAGTTGCATTCCTTCCTCTGATTAATACAGGAAAGGAGCTTGCTGGACTTTCACTTTTCCCATATATACTCTGATTTTTTTCAGAAAAGATAAGTCACCTAGAAACAAACCTTGTAGAAGTTTCCATAGGATTTGCGAATATTGATCCACTTCTTAGCAAAAGAAGGGTATTTCAGACGGCTAATACGACACTGGATATTTAAAAACTTACTCATATCCCAGGACCTTAAAAAAAAGCATAGTATTTTAAGACCGAGGTGCTGATATCATGAGACTTTTTGCTGTCAATGCGACTTACATATGAGAACTCTCTGAAAGACTATCAGCTTCCATATGAACCTTTTCAATTGCTTAGATAATCTTCAAAGGTCTTTTTTATTTTATAACTTTCTGAATTGGTCCTTCATTGCGTGAGGCACTCCTACAGCAGTAAGCACTTAATTATAAAAGATTGGTGAGCACATAATGACAATGTAGGGGTTTTTTTTCAACCTGTATTGTTGTGAACAAGTCAGTAAGCCAGTTGCTGCTGCTTAATCACTTTCATTTGGTTCCTTATCCCAGCAGGAGCAGCTAAATAACCCAAAATCACTCTGTCCTGAGCTTGTTTAGTGTATGAGTGCTCGTAGCATCGGAAACCTGAATTTTTATTAAACCTTGGGTTCCATCCCTGGCTTGTCCCATTACTCCCACTGGAAGCAGGAGCATCAAGTGATGACTAGCACACATGCACATTTTGAAGAAACTGGGTTCTGCTGTCCATGAACCAAGCAACAATAACTCTAAGAGGTAAGCAAAGATATAAAACCCACAGGCCCACTAGCTGGAAAAAACCCAACCCATCTAAAATAATTATACTGGGCATATAATTCAATTTTAAATGTCAAAACTGTCTTCAAAATACATGGGTGCAGAAAAGAAAACAGAAACGGTACTGGTCTTCTTGTCTCCCTAAGGGCAGCATTCTAAATGCCATCACAACAGAGAAGGAATTCTCTTTTGACAGTGGTTTGGTCACAGTGATGGCGCACAGAATGGAGCCTCCGCCAAAGTTTGCAAAACAGAGGAATGATGTTACTAGAATCCCCAACCTCTGGAAGTTAGGCAGGTGGTGACCAGAGATGGAGGCTCCTCTGAGGCGATGCCTGTTACGGAATTCCTAGACGCATTCCCCAAACACCAACTCTGCTTAGCTGCCAGTAAAAAGCTTAATTTGCCCCAAATTTCATGTGGATATTATTACTTTTATCTAGTGATGTCGTTCTATGTCATTCTCTTTAATTTCCCACCTTTTTATTCACTGTACTCATTTCATTATTTTGATTAACAATGTTTTGTATTACTCTATACAAAGCCAGCCTTGGGAATTCTTGTTAAAATTGTTCAGGGAACCCTCCCTGAAGGAGGTAAAAAGGACATCTACCCGGAGCAGGGCCTTCTCTGTGGTGGCGCCCAGGTTGTGGAATGCACTCCCCGGAGAGGTTCACCTGGTGCCAAGTTTATATTCTTTTTGGCGCCAGGTCAAAACCTTTTTGTTATTTTAAAAATAAGTATTTTAACATTTTAACATTCGCTTTTGATTTAAATTTTTACTGGTATTATGTTATTTATTTATGCATATGGTTGTTTTATTGTATTTTGAGTATAAGGATTGTAAGCCGTCCTGAGATGCTATCCATAAGGGACGGCATACAAAAGTTTTAAATAAATAAATAAATTTTAAAAGGACAGACATCAATGCTAGCTCCAGGTTTTTGGCGGCTCTTGGGATGGGATGGGATGCCTTCAGTGGACCACGTCTTTCAGTCCATCCTCTTGCTGCCATGGTCACCAGCTGCTCTTGCTCTTCACCTTCTTTCTTATCCTTGCTCTTACTGGCTTGCATAGCAAGCAAAGAGTTGGTGACAAGAAGTAACTTCTATGCCTTTGCATCACCATCATTATCTGGGCCAAGGCAAGAAGAAAGTGAACAAGCAGACTTCAGTGCTGAAGAGGAGGAATAACTTTCAAGGCCTTTCACAGAGGACACTGGCAAGACCAAACCTACTTTGGCATTGGCCCAGAAATACTTACAAATAAAGAGAAATAGGATTGCAACCTCTATGCAGAAAAGTCCTAACTAGTAAATGATTCTCTGAATTGTCAAAGAGAAATTGAATGTGTTTGTGGCCAGCTAACAATTCCAGTGATGCAATGTCAAGAAAGCTAATGGAGAAATACTTAGGAATACCAACACAGCCTTGTTTCTGTAATACATTATTCCTTGAATGGCAGTAAAATGACTGGCTTTGTATTAAACAGTTAAATAACTTTCATCAACTGGACACACAAGTAGTTCTTTACATACATACCCATCAGTTAATATGGAATAGCTATATCTACTTCCTAATTCCTTCTGTTTCATCCAATCGACAGCATTTTGCAGAACATTTGGAAATTCAACTGCTTTGTCTACAAGATCCTGGAAAAATACCAGTAAGTTATTAAAATACAAATGTTGCAAACTGGGAACCAACTTTTAAAAAGGAGTTCAAATGCCACATTTTGAGGCCTAAAAGTACTGCAAAAGGGAAGTTTGGAGAAGACATACCCATACTTTGCTAGAAAGCCCTTAAATCTACCAGCAAAAAACCTAGATTTGCTATTTTGTGAAATTTGGAGCAGGAATGAGGAATTTGTCCCTTACTATACAAGCACTACATTCGTGTTAGCAATAGGCAGGGCTAGAGTTATCCCAAATTATTCCTCTTTATTTTACTACCATAGCCAAAGAATAGAATTAATTCTATTATATTTCTTTCTGCCCTCTTTTCCCTGAGAGCCAGTGTGGTATAGTTAAGAACAACAGACTTTATAAAGTGTAATCTTCTTTTAAGGGATTTAGGGAGGTATGTTTGGTAATACATTGCTGCCAAACTGTTAAGAACATAATGAATTTGAAAGCATATCCTTACCACAAACATACTTTGTGGCTATTCCTACTACAAGCAGGTACTGAAGATGCAAAAAAGCTACTGAAATCTAAGCTACTAAGCCACCCCAACAGATTCACTTACTGTCTAAATGTTATAAATTCTGGGAAGCTTCATTCCTAACTCTTATATTCTGCCTTATCCCCAGAACAGTGTTTTTCAACTTATTTAGCCTCCAAAAAACAAACACATGTGATTTGTCAGCTAAGAAATCCTTTTCCCAATGAGCCTCTAAATTTAGGATACATTTTAAGTTAATTCCCCAGTTAGGTTAAATTCTGCCAATGTCCTACCCGAACAGTGAGTACAGGCTAAAGAAACCTCAAACAATTAAACCAACTCAGCACTGTCCTGTGATTGCACATTGCAAAGAAAGATTAATGATGGCAGAAATTGGTTTAAGATGCCTTTAAACAGGAAAAAAACTGTTTCTCAAGGTTTCTCAATTAGAACTTTATCCTTGGCATGCAAAGGAACCCCATGATTCCACAGGATACATTGGCATAGAATATAACCAATATGCTTGAATTACTGTTTGAAAAGAAGTTAACCAGAAAAAGAATGGAAAGTCAAGGAACCATTAGTATACCTAAGCAATTTTTTGCACTGAATTCTAGTGCTCTGAAACCTGAGCCCTAGTAACTTTTAAAGCCTTCTGTTTCATTAATATTTTTGATTGGTCAACTGTAAACAATGTTACCTGGGAGATGCCTGTCAGATTAATGCAGAAATCTGAAAGCTGAGGATTTATCTCTGGTTTCACATATTGTTGAAATGTGTCCTCCTACAAGATAAAGTTAAGACATAGATGATTTGGCACCAATACAGCAAAAGCCCAAACTATCCATTCTTTTACAGAATTTTGGTAGAAAAATAGGCTACTAATTAAGGTAACAACTAGTAAGCAACCAGATGAAATAAAGATTAATGTATCTGAACCTCAGTAACTAACACTGAAACTACAATATTTCCATCTGTTATCTATGAAAGAGAAGTCCAGTCAGCCTTGTTGCCATGGATAAGAACAGCCTCCAAGTTATCTTCATTAGTTCACAAACAGCATCAAGACTGTTACCATAACTATTACAGGATTATGCACAAACCATTACAGGCATGGTGTGCTTGTCTTAAAGCATGGATGCAGCTTCCAGAGCAAACTACATAACCCACAACTGTGGATAATGAAGCTGAGCTTTGCGCAGGAGTTGGCAAAGCTATTTGGCTATGTTGCTCAGCTCTATCCTCATTAGCTCTATGTCCCACTTGAAAGTATTCCTTCAGCCCATGCAGGGCTCCAGATATGTATCAGGAACATACATAGTTTAATCATCGACTGGGCAAAATTCCTTTAAATTAATTAGAAAGCACTTATTAAAAGATACTTTCTTAGGGATATTGTTTATTTTCTTTTTAAAAAAGGCTATATAGCCTCCTGACTTAACATGTTGCATTTAAAATGATATTTCTACCACTTGAAGCAGCTATAAAATTACATAAAAGACAAGAAGAAACATGGCCACTTACTATTTCTAATGTCCTAGTATTTAATAAGACAATAGGAAATTCAATGATTTCATGTGGAAATTCAGGCTGATTTCCTTCTTCACAAGTTGCTTCAAAGTCAATAACACAGATGTAATCATAGTAATTATCTGCACTTGCAGGCTGTTTGTGCATTAACTTTTCCTTCTTATAGTGGTTTTTCAGCCTCTTTTTCAATACATCTTTCACTCCTCTGCCAAAGAAATAGAACATGTCATGGTGCTTATATCCATCACCTACTCAGAGTACTGGATGGACACAGTGTTGAGGTAGAGACAATATACACCAGTCCCTTTGCATGTTTGCTCTCCTTTCAAACTTCAGCACTATCTTTGGTGAATTCCCCTAAAGGGAATTACAGTAATAGCCTGTTTTCATCTGCTGAAAGTTAACAGGCCATAGAAGGAAATTCTTTCTACTATGCAACTTCCCTTGAGAAAGACATGACAACCTTAAAGCAGGTTTGAAAATATTTAAACAATTAAAAAAAACAAAACACTCTCGTGCCCTGAGATATTCCAAGAATTTTAGGGCACAATCCTATCCATATTTAAACAGAAATAAATCTTACAAGTTGTAGCCAACCATTTTGTTTTTTGCATAAACTAATATAGAAGTGTACCCTTAGAGTCTACAATTCATTCTGGAATTCCTTTTCCCCACCAAAGTAGCCTTGTAAGACTTTTACCTGATCCTTCTACTACAGAATTCAAAAATAGATTTGTACTTATACATTTAAAGGCCCCGTTAAAACAATTTATTTAAATGTTTAGTATCCCTGTCTTCAAAACAGGTTGAGGTTTCAACTTTTAAAGCCTTATCCAGGCATTAAGATGACCACTTCAGGCCTTCTCCAGGTGCCCCTACCCAATTGTGGTGCTTTCCTTAGAGAAGCCAAGTTGGCACCTCTATAGTGGTATTTCTGATGCAAGGTGAAAACCATTTTATCCTTCCAGGCATTTTTAGAACAGTTTTCAGTGATTTTAGTACTCTATGCTGCTACTGGTTTTAACATGTTTTTATGTTATTGTACTGGTTTTATTATTTGCTGTTGGTTTTATTTTGTTGTTTTAATGCTTATGTTCTGTTTTTAACTTAATGTACTGTACAACATCCAGAGAACTCTGGTTATTTAGTGGTTTTAAAGTATTGTAAATAAATAAATTGGGTGTTCCAAACCATATCACTAATAGTTCATATGGAGTTCAAATTAAGTATCTATGACTAGACCAGATGTTTTGGACAACCCTCAGTATTCCCAACCATTAGCCATGTTGGCTAATGTTGATGGAAAGTGAAGTTAAAAATACCTGGAAGTGACCAGAATGAGAAAGGTTAGCTTAGATTATCTTAAACATTTCTCTGTCTACACAGCCTGCAACACCATTCCACTTAAATTGTATTATTTTGCCATTTGCCTTTGTCATTACTCCTTTTCCAGGTTCCCAGATTTCCAAGCTTCTTAGAACTGAAAACCATAAGGTTTAATACCAGCTCACATCTAAATAAATAACTAGGTACATAATTCTGTGTTCTCAGAGAAGACAGGCACTTAACAAATGCTTACCTAGTGTCAAGCTTGAATTCAGCAAGTTTTGCTCTTAGCTCATCTCTGCTCATTCTATTAATATGGCCGTTTGTCAGAGAAATCTCTTTGTAAACTGGGTCACTGAAGTCACTTGAACTGCACATTGATTTGTTTTTGCTGTCATCTTGGTAATCAAATCTACAGCGCTGCTTACTCTGGTTAAAAGGCTATGTGATTAGAAAAGAAAAAAAACACAAGACAAGCAACACATTCTTTCTCACCCTCAAAAGGTTAAAACAATAATTGTACTCAACAAATCTGTTGGACTTGCCAGTGTATTATACAAAAAGTATGGACAGGCAAATTTGTCAGGCTCAATCTTGTGCTGATTCTAATTCTTCCCACACCAAACTAATTCCAACTTGGATCTACATCAGAGTAATAACCGTTTTTCCCCCACAAAGGAATTGTACATGAAATCCCTTCTCTTCCTAAGTGTCCACTTTATTTGTATGGATTTAATTTTTCTATTGAAATCTAGCTCAGGATAACAGTACATGAATGGTGGACTGTCTTTTGTCTCACAAAACCATGTAGACAAATAAACGTGTTAATACATATGGTACCAAAATAAATTTCCATAGGATAAGCTGTGTTAGTCTATTACAGCAAATGCAACAAAGAGTCTTGTGGTTTTTGAAAGATTTATTAAGCATAATCTTTTGTATACCATAGCCCATTTCATCAGATGCCATCAGCACACTATTATTATTACACTGAATTGCATTTTTATCCTTTCTTTCTTCCTCTAGCAAGGAACCCAAGATGGCTTATATGGTTTTCCTCCTTTCTATTCTATCCTCACAACAAACCTGCGAGGTTTCTGAGGTATTTTTATTTATTATATTTATACCCTTCCTTTTTCCTTTCAAGAAACTCATGGAGGATTAGATAATTCTCCACCTCCAATCTATTTTATTCTCACAACAACCCCGAGAGTCTGTGACAGGCCTAAAGTCACCCAGTGAGCTCCATGGCTGAATGGGGACTAGAGCCAGTGTGGCGTAGTGGTTAAGAGCATGCGACTGGGATTCAGGCGATCCGGGTTCGAGTCCCCGCTTGGCCATGGAGCCAACTGGGTGACTTTGGGCCAGTCAGACTCTCAGCCCAACCTACCTCACAGGGTTGTTGTTGTGGGGATAAGATGGAGAAGGAGAATGATGTAAGCTGCCTTGAGCCCTTTGTAGGAAAAAGGCAGGATATAAATCGATTTTTTTTTTTTTTGAGATTTCCTGGGTCTCACTCCAGTGCCCTTAACCATTACACCATACAATAGTTCTCCAGAGTGAGAGTTTTAGGCAAATATAGCAAAATCACTTTGACAGCTCTCCGGGCATCTTAAGTGGAACTCCATGAAAACCTTTGCCAGGATAAAAGTTTAGCCTTTAAGGTGTCACAGGCTCTGTCATAACAAATGACAGTCTTTAAGAGTTTTGTTTTTTCCAATCAAGCAAAAAATGACTCAATTTTAATCAGGGGTAGGCTTAAGGTAGGCCAGAATGATTAGCAGTTTAGCAAAGTTTTCTGAGACCTAATTGTTTAGAATGAGTCCCCTCCAATCCCTCCCTAAATTTCACAGCTGAGATGACAATAGCTGGACATTAAACAAGCACCTGCAGCTTTGATCTTTAGATACCTGCTTAAGTCATACACCTATGTCTAAGCTTTCCCTTTAGCATGTCTCAGTCAACAGTGTCCAAACTTTACTGTTGATCACCGATCATTTTATCTTATGACTCTAGTCGCTCTATTAAACTTATTGGGGACCGGCACAGAAATGTGTGCAGTGAATGGCATCGATAAAGCGGATTTGTGTATGGCGGAAGGATCGGGTGCTCTGCTCAGTTCGGGTAATCCTCACAGGTACTGGAATCATAAACTCCTTAAGCCTACGTCTGCCTGGCTTCCTCGGAACTCAGCCCCGACACTTTTTATTTATTTATTAATTTTATTAAAACATTTCTATGCCGCCTCGGGGCGGCTCACAACATAAAGTTAAAATACAAAAAATAACAATATAAAATAAGTCGCTTTTCTCTGAAAGCGTCTCTGCAGGACACCCGCAACGGCACTCGAGCAGCGGGACGCTCCGGGCGAGCCGCGCGCGCTCTTTCAAAGGGCTTCCGCCGCCTCACGTGACGCGCGCCTCTCGTTCAGCGCGCGCTGCTCCCGTGACGCCAGCGCTTGTGGGGGAGGGGAGGGCTCCTCGCGCGAGCGGGGCGGGGGCCGCTGCGAGACTCACCAGCGCGCCGCGACCTTCGGCTTTTTCTTCCTCGTCTTCTGCGGGCCGCTCCTGCTGCGGCACGTTTTCTTTTTGCTCCTCCATCTCTCCGTCTCCGCGCTACACGCGGGAGCCCCGGAAGATTAAACTCAAAAAAAAGAAAAAAGCACAAACTAGAAGCAGGGAATTGAGGGAGGGAAGGTGACGTAAGGGACGGAACCTCGTCTCGCATTGGCTCCACCCAGCTCTGATGATTGATTGGTGGGCGGGGCCTACGGAGGAAAGGCTTCCATGGGTTTACGGCGCGAAGGAAATCTGAATCTGAGTTCGCGCGCAAAAACCACCATTACAATTCTTGCTCTCCACCCCTCCTTGCCTTGCCCCCTTTAGAAGTAGACGCGCCTGGTTGGCTCATTCTCCTCCGCTGACTCCGCCCCTTCCTCTCTCGTCCAATGCCGCGTCGTGAACCCTCCCCCCCCCCGCGTGTGTACATGACCGCCTTCCCCAACCTGGCGTTCTTCGGAAGCCTTCGACCTCAACTTCCAAATTCGCTGGGCAGCTGCTGGGAAGTATGGGAATGGTAGTCCAGTATTTGTGGGGCGCTTCAGGTCTGGGAAGGCTAAGTCATAGCAGGTGGTCAGCTGGTTCAGGTTCAAGCAGTGGTTTCAAAGGAGCCTGCCAGACTCGAGGGCGTGTAGCCAGATGGAGAACTCATTGGAAACGTCTTTCCATTTAGTACTCAGCGCTTGCGAAAAGAGCAAATTCCGTGCGAGCTGCAAATTGCTCCAAAATAGAATAAAAAAAGTAATAAAGTAATGCCATTATCCACATCTATGGGGTATGGCCACACTTGGAAATCTGGAAACAGTTCTGGTCGTCTCATCTCAAAAACCATAAGAGTTGTAGGATTTCTTCTGTGCAAATATGAATAGATTTGCTCCCGGGTTCTTCTGGGTTGGCTGTGAGGTTCTAGCATAAAAATCATTAGAGTCGGTTGGAATATTTATATTAAGGTGCAAAGAGAAGATCTGGAATTATTAGCTTTATGTCTTCTGTTTTTGTCTGCAGCCTTTACATTGGACATGAATGTATTATTAGTAGATGGAACAGTTGAACCATCTCCACCTTGGACCAGTGCAATTTCTTGACCTTTCTGTACTGGTTTTTGATCTGTTAACAAATTAGTTTGTTACTACTTTTAGTGTGTCCACTAATTAGTTACATATCAGCAGGTCTATGACATTAAATATATTTGCATATTATTACAAGTTCAGCATAGTTGCCTTCCTCAGACACTGAAAGAACAAGATGAAAGTGTTACACTTCCTGTTTAGACAGAAATGCCTTACTTTACTATTTGCCTATTATTTATTATTAGAAAAATGTATACATTGCCCACCCATCCAGTGGATGCTCAAGGTAAAGTAGATTTAAAAATAAAATACAGAAAATAGAAAGGAGAGGATATCTTCTTACAAAACAGAGTGGTGGTACATTTCATTAAAACCTCTGGGAGAATGTATTCTACAGTACAATACACTATTCACTACTGATAATGAGGTGGCCAACCTGGCCTTCCTAATAAAGGAATTCCATAATACGGTGCTGCTACATAAAAACTCCCGTTTTGTGCACCAACCAGTCTGACCTCTGTAGAGGGTGGGACAGAATCCTAACACTATTTTTTGGTTACCTGTCCTTGGCAGCTGTCGCTATTTTGTCCCAATTTTGCCTTTTCTGTATCCCTTGCTAAAATGTTGACAGTGACTGAATTCCTTTCCTAGGTTTACATTTCTTAGTGGAAGATAGATCATTTCACACACTGCAGCTGCTGCTACCCATATATTTTGATACCCATTGCAGTTTTTTGTCTTTGACCCAAAGAACAATTACCCCGTTGGCTTTTAAAACAGCAAAGGGCAGCCTGTTAAAGAATACTCAGATACAGCTCAGGCCAGAGTACTGCCTTCAGCAATTCATAATGGGATAGTCTATTGGCAGAAAAACCCTGGTGTGATGAGTCTCAGATAGGAACCTTTGGTTCTTAGTCTCTAAGTTTACTCTATTGATCACATTAAGTCTGATAGCAGCATAGCTTCTCTCGTTTGATCTCATCCCCATTCATGTTTTTATATTTCCCATGTTTGGTCCTCCAAGCGATTAGAGATAGGTATCTTGGTAGCTATAGAAAAATGTATCTATGGATCTTGTTTCTTCTCTCGAGTGCATACTGGACAAGTGCATAGACACATTCTAATATTTATAGCCTGGGGATGTTTTGTGTTGATGGACAGTAATATTATATCTGAGCAAACTGTTGAGTGATCACTTGCTTCTGAAAATTGGACAATGGCACATATTGTGTTCGATACATTAGTACGGCTCACCTGCTTTAAATATTTCCTTTGGAGAAAGAGATTCACTTTGCACATACTCTGGCTTGGTCCCTGTGTTGGGAAAATCCTTTAAAAATGTAAATGAGACTGTTAAAACACACACACAAAGACAGTGGTTTTCAGTCACACATACAACTTAATAATGAATTAAGAGAATTTAGGAATAGGAAATTTCATACACAACTGAAACACTAGTGGCTAGTGCATTTTCTAGTTAACAATTTACCTCCAAACCTAAGTATGGATCTAGTACTGAAAAAACCCTTTCAAACAAAAGGACAGGCAAAAAGAAATTGTTAGCATAGGCAAAATGGTTATTTCAAGCAAAAAGTACAGTCTGGCAAGTCTATGTAAGCCTTGTGAAGATGCTATATGAGCATCTTCATGGAAACCTTCTGCTGTTTGTATTTTTTCCACTTGCCACCAGGGGGCAAGCAATGAATTGAAATTTAGATTTTCAGAACTCATAAGCCTTTTAGAACTCAGCAAACCTTTTGTACTGTTTTATACATTTCTAATAAAGGGGTTTTTAGAAAATGAAAGCATTTTTTCTGCTCAAGGAGTGTCACTTACTTCTAAAGGCTTGTCAAAACATCTATGTCTGGCTTCAGGGTGGCAGTATAAGTATCTGCAGAAAAAGCAGACATGTAACATAGATTTGGATTCAGCCAATGATGTAATTAATGCCCCAGTAGTCCTCTGTACATTGCAGTGACAACTTAGTGCTGTCCTCGATTTCAGAGCTGAAGTGAGATACGTTCTGGCCTTTGCCACTAACCAGGAGACCAGGGGAAACTGGGGAGCCTCAGCCTGACTTCCAGAAAAGAACATGACAAGGAAAAGACTGGGCTGGCTCTATTGATCAGCCAGGGAAGGAAGAGCTCAGGAAGACTGCTTCAAACGCACTAACACCCCGGCCATAAACACAGTTTTCTCCAACAACCAGTTGCCCTGGGTCTGCAAAACTGAAGGAAATCACCTCATAGCTTCTGTAGTCAGCCAGGGAACTAACTGTGGGTGCATTCTTTAAGGCAAGGAGGTCTACCTACCTGCCCAGACCAGATGAGACTGATGAAATTACTTAATTTCAAGAACTGCTGCCTGAATTCACTTGCTTCCCCTCCCCATTCTTTTTCTCCTTTTGTATCACATCTTTCAGATGCTAAGTGTGTAGTGAAGGACTGCTATCTTTTACAGCATTTAGAAAATTTCAAGTGCTGTATAAGTGAATAATACTAGTAACAATTGCAAGAGTAACAACAAAATAATGGCTTAAAGCCATTGTTGTGAGTGGGCTTCCTTAACCCTCCAGAAGAGATTTGGGGTTTGTCCTGGGGTCTTCATTCTGCTGATGGGTGGCAATCATTGGATACAACCCAGTAACCCCAACCCTAAGTGATCTTTTTAGTCAAACAAGGTTGCTTGCTTGTATTTCCTAGGCACAAGACCTCTTACCTCTGAAGGTAGGAATTGGCCCTGAAAGAGAGGGGCATATAAAGTTTCCCTCCTCCTTCAGGAAGCCATCGAATAGATGTGTCCACTCCAAATCCAACATGTCCTTGAGCTCCCGAAGAAATTGGCATCACTTCCTCAATCAGAAATGGTAACAAAGGGAAGTCTCAATGAAATTTGTCCATGTCAAACATTTTGGGGTTTTCACCTTTTGTTCCTCTTGAACTGACTGCTCAGTGCCCCACTGTGGAAGGATCAAGTAGAGACTTTCTTTCTTCTAGCCCCACTGAAGATCTGTGATCTTGTTTGTTGTGGTAGCCATGGAAGCAATGGCTGTCGGACTCACAAAACAAGGAAACTTAACGAGCCTATCTCAGTCCCAGATATTTTAACTACCAAGGAACTTCTGTGTAATTTTATTCTTGAGAAAGAGCAGTCTGCTTGGAAGGAATGCCAAGAAAGCTCAAAAGCTGCGATGCATGAGGAGCCCCACTGACACAGGAGTTCCAACTTCCCACCACAAACCCAAAGGCTCTTTCTTGTACAGTCAGAAGCTGTTCAAACCTCATCAGTGTATGTCTGTGTGAAGTAAGAATGTTTGGCTCCGCATATTTTCCACTGAATCTCATTTGTTGCCTATTCACCCACTTTGGAAAGATAGTCTTTTAAAGATCTTGGCAGCCTGCTTGAGTTTTCACCAACCAGAATAATTTGGTGTCTGGATGTTGGAAAACTCAGCCACTTGCCTCCTTACCCTAATGCCTGGTCATTTATGAACTAGTTAAATAACACTGGTACCAAAAATACAGATGCTTGGGAAGACCTCGCTTCTTTCTTCCCTCCCTTGTGGAAACTGCCCATTTCCTCCTATTCTTTAGCCAGCTTTGATCAATAACAGGACTTATTACACTGTTGGTTTAGCAACCTGACCCAACAGGAGGTGTGGCTTCATGTTGTGGTGAGTCCATGTTCAATGACGGAACATATATGCTCTCCATGGAGATGGCCTCAACTTAATATAAATATGTATTACTGTACACACACTGCCAGGGTTCAACAATCAATGGGCTGAGTAATGGTGTACATTCACTGTACTTCTGATCCTGTCAGCTTCATGTTTTTGTTAAAGGACTGGGAAACAAAAAGCATTTCATCTACAAGAGCTGGAAGCAAAAAAAAAAAAAAAAAAGCTTGATTTGTGAAAGAAGTTCGCATTCATAGGATGGTATGTTATATATAGCAAATAGGTTTAGGCATGTTTCAAGGAGTTACGTATGATGACAACACAGGTCTTCACCAAGACCTGTAGAGGCAGCCAAGCTTCTCTGAAAGATGGCTTGTCCGTCATGCCTGATCTGCAGAGGAGTTACA